GAAAACAGGATAAAGACAGACTGTCGGTGTTTGAACACCGCTGTCTACGCCGAATTCCACGAATCTGGTGGGGTAGCCGGATGAGCAATGCTGAGGTTAGGGGCAGAGTTTTGGGTATTCGCGGTAGCCCACTGTAGCAAGTGGTTGACCTCTATAGATTACGTTGGTTTGGATATGTGTTACGCATGTCACCAGATAGGTTACTACGGCGAGCGATGTTCGCCGAAGCAGAAACCGAGTGAAAAAAGCCAAGAGTGGTCAAGCTAAGACGTGCCACGAGGGTATGAAAACCCTAACCAGGAGACACATTCGTGATCTTGAAGCGATTGGAAGTGGACATAGCCTTCAACAGCATCAACAATATTTTCCCGGATATCAAGTTCACTATGGAAACAGAAGAAAATGACAAATTGGCATTACTCGACGTCCTAGTAACAGGATCACTGTCCGGATCGCTAGAAACATCAGTATACAAAAAGAAGACCCACACGGATCAAATTCCGGGATAAATGAGCAACCATCCAACCTGCCACAAGAAGAGTTGCATTCGAACACTTTTAGAAAGAGCAAAAAGACACTGCAGCACTGAAAAGTTGAGGCAGAAAGAGGAGAAATACCTGTATCAAGTATTCCTCCGCAACGGCTACACCCGCAACTTCGTCAAACGGACAATAACTCAAACACAGAAACACAAACGGACAACCGAATAAACAAATAACCCTACCGTATGTGAAGAACATTCCGGAAATGGCCACGAGAATACTGAAACCACACTACATTCAAGTCATCCACAAACCAACAACCCTGAGGAGAATCTTATCGAAAACCAAGAAGCAACAGGAAGACAAAAATCGAACAAATGTGATCTACCGCATCAACTGTAAGGACTGCAACAAGTACTATGTCGGTCAAACAGGGAGAAAACTAGCAACTCGTGTGCATGAACACAAACTGGCTGTCAGAAGACACGATGCGCTCTCACTTATCTCAATCCACGAGGACCGAGAAGGACACAACTTCGATTGCGAAAACATCAAAGTCGTCGACCAGGCGCGCGCCAAGCACGCAAGAGAATTTCTGGAAGCTTGGCATTCATCGGAAAACTCGCTCAACCGACACATTGACATCGGTCAAGTCTACACCCCCATGCAACAAAAGGACCAATCAACGCAAAGAAGGTGGGTCGTGTCACATGTGACACACGTGACACGACAGGACAACAATAACGCTTAGACTGAGCGATCAACGGACAGTCGTCAGACTGCTCGCGTCCACCTCATCCCCTATCGGCACAAGGCGAACACACCTTGGACAATCAGGCAACGCCACATCACTCAACGACCTATATAAGGAAGAGGACACTCGTAAGAGCTCACCCAGTTACTGCACTGAGAATGTCAACTCGATTGGTGATGAAACGTTTGCTATACAATTGCCAAGCCCGGCGAAAGACTGAACATCAAATATATATATATATATATATATATATATATATATATATATTCATCACGATAACCTTGTTTGCAACGCCGGGTGACCATTGAATAGACAGCTCTTTCAGAGCCAGTCCAATGAAGAATCAATGCTATGATTCGATGTTTTGTAAGTGGGTTAGATGCTACTAACCGCAACAAACGTGACCTGATGGTCTTATTATCAAATATTCTACCAAGACCATCAGGTCACGTTTGTGGCGGTTAGTAGCATCTAACCCACTTACAAAAACATCGAATCATAGCATTGATTCTTCATTGGACTGGCTCTGAAAGAGCTGTCTATTCAATGGTCACCCGGCGTTGCAAACAAGGTTATTGTGACGAAAATACACTTCCTGGGTACAAGTATATGAATGAACTGACAAAAGATTACCGGATACGCATGCCTGACGAGCGGCAAGAGCCGCGAAACCGGTCGTGTGCTTCCAGGGAAATTTTGTCCAATCATCCACATACTACTTATTATCATATATATATATATATATNCACACACCCACGTCTGATGCAAGACTATGCCAAACAAATCGTGGTGCAATAATCTTTATCAAAAGAAAAACGCTCCACGATTTGCAAGTGCGCTGAATATTGCCAGGTTGCTCAAACAAACACAGGAAGGACATTTCGTTGAGTGTGCGCGTACATCGAATCGGTGAAGAGAATAAGCACATGAAACAGCTGGTAGTTCCTGTAAACTTGAGTCAGTGTCTTGAGTGCGAGCAAGAAAAGTTACAGCTACATGGAAATTTCAAGCATGGACACGATATAGTGAAAGGGGGCAATCAATTGACAAATTTATCTTGGAGATATCGCATCACACCGTTACATTTAAAATAATAATACATATATCTGACCAACAAAACACAACGTAGCTAATGATAAAGGAGGCGAGCAAGCGGAATAGGTGAGTGTATGAAAGCTATCTGTGAGCCACGATACAATCGAGGGAGCAATAAGAAGGTTAAATGGAAGATATACATATAGATATTGCTCTAACAAGGCAGCAGACGTACATGGG